CACAGTATTCCAGCATTTCAGGGCTGTGCCATATGTGCTGAAAAAGCAAATTGCCTCAAAATATGCTTTTAMGGCTGGCTCTGCTCTGCCATTGCATCTTAAAGGCAAATAATCAGTTGGAAACCTCATACTTCAGGATTCAGGAAATCTCTGTTAAAGTGYACTGAGAAYTCTGACAAAATACAGCCCATTGCTGTAGATTTCATTGAATATGTCACTTCAAAAGTCACCTACTTCTCACGATAAGTCAAGTTTTCTGCTGCCCCACCTCTCAATTCACTTGGCTTCAGTCAAACGCTGCCACAAAATCTCCCCATRTCTAAGGGGCCACTGCACAGCCCAACTCCTGACTACATCACTGCTGCACAAAAATAAAGATATTTAAGTCAGTTTTTCTACTCTGAATGAAGAGTGAGTGTGAATAACTGGTGCCTCCCCTCCACACTGCCCCAAACTCACAGCTGGCTGCCTGTGAGGCTTTGAAGCCATCAATCCTTGCATGGGGAGAACGCAGCACCAAAACTCTCCTAACCCAGGGAGCAGGCTGTTCCCTCTGCAGTGTTCCAGCACATTGCCTATCCTGGCAGGCAGAATTTAACCAGTTCCAGGGTCTGCTGAAAGGAAAAATAACCAAACCCATAGTTCATTCTCAGGGGAGAGACCCAGGTCCTGCTAAAATATCCCCTGACTCCCCCTCACTTCAAACACCCAGAGAATGGTGAATCAATATAAAAGAAAGGGTCTTTAAAACATTTTCCAGAGTCTTCCCACATCCAAGTCTTYAGAGGCTCTCAGTATTTGAAGTATTAATGGAAGCGTTCCATACAATTCCCTGTGCACACATCTAAAAATAGCTATGGACACAGTAGTAAGGTTTTTTGTCTATATTTGCAAGAGTCTTACTTCCCTCGCAGGAACCACAACTTCCCATTAATGCTGACATTTACTTTTTCTTTTAAAAAGTGCTATTAAAACACCAGAAAGTCTTTTAGCAGCACAGTGAACATCAATAGTAATATTAATACACCAGTAACAACAATCTGAGTTGATACTCTGGTGATGGATCATGAACATATTCTCTACATCAACAATGTCAATTTTGCTCTAAGAACTGACGAMGCCACATGATACCCTTGGCAGAGCTGCTTATCATTATACATCTGTTCTGCTCGTGACAAAAATATAATTTTTTTTTGCCTGACAAGCCCTATTTGTCCATCTTTACCCACAATGACATCAAGCATGCCAAGCTGCAAGAAGTCATGAGAGAATCTAACCTTGTGTCAGACTTTTTGTTCTGGACATATTAAAGGAAAAGTGAATGGCTTCTCATATTCCCATAGTAGAGGTCTGAGAGGATGTAAAGAACCAAAAAAATCCCCAAGTCAGACAACAAAACAGAAACCACATGACCAAAGCAATTCCTACCTTGGCCTCCATGGTTTCTGACATAAAACGAAATTTCATTTATGGCTGAATAAGAGCCTGCAGATACATGCACCCAAATACTCGTTTTTAGGCTCAAACTGAAGAAGCTTCCACCCTTCCAGCTAAATCCWACCGGAAATCCCATGGCCCATTCCCCAAAACCATTCCCAGTGGGATTTGTCTCCCTCTGCTGGTAATGCAGGATTCACAGCCAGTTGCCCAAACCACCACAGGCACYCTCCAAAGAACAAACATTGCCAGACATTTGGAAATACGTGACCAATGGAAGCCTTTCTAACACACAGGCAGAAAAYGGGTGGGGGGGATAATGAGGGCTGGGGAGAAGGGAGAAGAATCACATTCTGATTACAAAGGAATTCCTATTTCAGTAGTAAAAAAAAAAAATGAGGACACACGTGACAATGGAAGCAAACACACAATGAAGCTTTTGTCCCCAAACTACTTGGCTCCCATACAAGGAACAGAGGAACTTGGGTCGGTGGGGACTGGCTGAGGCAGGGGAAGAGTGAGAGGCTGATGTTTGTGAAAAGAAAGCAAAATTGGTTAGTCTGCTTTAAGAAAGGCTGGGAAGACAAAGGCAAAAAAAAAGCAGCCTGCTATTGTAGAATCCACCCACTCACTTCTGAAACGCTCAAAGACCCAGACAGGGATTTACAACCAGCACTTGCAGGCACTGAGTACGAAGCAGAAAACACTCAAATGCCCAGAGGCAGCTTCTGTGGTGCSAGAGAAGCAGCTTTTACATTGCACAGGGTTATGGTCAGAGCCGTTTTCTTTCAACAAGTTTGTTAGTGCTGAGTCAGCCACTAAGCTGGGCACTGCAGACCATACGAAGGCACCTGTACACTGCAATTTTCAGCTCTAGTTAACCAACCAACATGGTTTACTTTTTAACAGTCACACAACTTCCTGGAGAAACAGAGTATTTAAAAGCAGACCAATAATCCTACKGCTTAGAAGCCAAAATAATAACAATGATTAAAAAAAAAAAAAAGGTGGTGTTCAGTTGTCTGCAAGAGCAGGGTGAAGAAAATGCCTGTGCTGAGTGGGGTTGTTTTTTTCAAAGTGTCAAGGCACATTCAGAAAGATCACAGTAATGTAAAGCTGCAAAATTTTGGTGATGATTTAAAAACTATTTTAAAGATAATAAATTCAGTTTAAACCAAGCATATTCTATTTAATAGCTCGCTTATACTAGGGAAGAAAGAGAGTGCTGATGCAGAGGTTTTCTTTAGCCTTAGTTAAAATCAGTTCAGAAAAGATTTATTTTCTCAGAGTCCACTATATCTGGCTTCTATTTATTTACACAAGTCTATATCCAGCAAGGGTTTAAACTAAATGAAGGTATGGGTTTATACGTATCATATGCAATTACAAATTAGGCATCTCCTTAAACCACCTTYCTTTAAAATGTGGTGCAGTTTTAAACCTTTTTTTAAAGGAATTGCACAGCTGCTTATTTGCATATACTCAGGGACTCAGACTTCTGCTGAACTGAAAAGCAAGGTATGGATACCTCAAGTTATTAAGGTGTTAATTTATTTAATCCAAAAGCAGCATTTTTTATCCTTGAGCCCAAGGGACTACATTTGAAAACCTTTTATGCAGCAAGTGCTTTTTTTGCAGTTGCAACTGAGACATTTTCCAATCCCCTGGTGATGCAGCCCGCACAAAAAAAGTAACAGCAGCCAGATTTTCATGTTGCCAGTGCCACAGGTGCAGGACTGGGATGAAGTTWCAGTGTTTTTGTGACAGCATGACTGCACCACTGACAAGGTAACAAACCCGGTGCCTGCAGCAGTTCCAGCTGCCCCAGTAACATTAGGTTACATTCCCAGGTTACATCAATGGCACCCAAAGGGATGCACCATGGAATAGTAGCACCGTGCTGAAGATGACAGCATATTAAAAGATCACTTGTAAGCCTCTCTGCTTTGTTTCTGTGGGCCTTTTTTATTTTTTTGGTATTTCCTGTTTAATCCTCTCAGCCAGGGAATGCAGAGGTAGGCCTACTACTTTTGGAACGCTATTTATTCAACAAATGGGACTTTTTCCCTCCCCAGTTTGATACAACTTTATTGCTAACCAGTACAGAAATAAACCTCCCACATGATCCCTATCTGAATCTCCCTCTACAAACAAAATCCATGCTTGACCATAGCATTTCCCAGGAAAAAAAAAGAAATCAAACAAACAATCTTAACAGGCTGCTGATGCAACTATTGCTCACTATACTGGATTCTCTTAGCAGTTGCTTCATGGTAGATTCAAGTTCCCTGTGGCACGAACCATCCTTTTATTCCACATTTGAACAATGCTTAGAACAGCAAAGTCTGTGTCTACAGATGCTAGGAATAATGGAACAATTAATCCATCCTCTCTCCCCTCTGCACATCCTTCCCCCACCCCCAGTGTTCTAACATGGAAATTGTTTCATTTTTAGCCTAAGGAAGTGAGGTTTATCCAATCATCCTGTGACAGTTTTACTTCGCCATTTCACTTATTCTTTACCTATTTGGCAGTCTCATGATACTTCAGAGACAGATTTCAAAGATATGCAACAAGACTCAAACAGGCATCTTATTAGTGGAGACAGATGAGTACCTAAGGGCTGCAGCACGAGTTTAACTGCAGCATCAGACACTAGAGAACCCACACAGAGAAGTAGCATCAGGGAGCAATCAGAATTTCACTACTCAATTTCTCTAACTCTCCTTCTTCAGCTGTATCGATCTCCTTTGTAAAATAAATTCAAAGAAACTATTCAAAGCCATGTTTCTATCCTTTAACCCCTCTAATTAAACAGTGATAACAGTAATTATGTGTGTACGGGATCGCTTGGATCAGCACCTTGTTTCACAGAACAGGGAAGAAAAAGAGAAGGAAAAAATAACCCCTCTCCATCCTGTACATATAAAGAAAAAGGAGTGGATTATGAACAGCTGTCAGAAACATATTCCATACCAGAAGTGCAGCTAATTTTGCATAAGAGCATGAGGACCTAACAACAAGAAAGCAGGGAAGAGAGCACATTTTTACGCTCACTGTCATCTTTCAGTTGCTTATCCAAGTTTCACTTGCAGACGTCAGGATGAAAAGAAACAGTCAGGGAGCAGCAGCCGGAATGGGTGTTGCACTCACTTCAAAAGAGCTGCATGCAGGAAGAGTTTGCCAGTATCAATATAGTGCAAGCTGGCAGGACTGGAAAGTTACAAATTAAGTGTGCCTTCATCAGTGACCTACTATGAACAGACCTACTGAGCTGCTAAAATATTTTTAGTTCAACCAATTCCTGCCTTTTTTGGTTCCTCTTGCTCTTCCAGTTTATCCAGTCATGTTCACTTTTCCACTCCCTCTTAGTGCCATGTAGTTTTTCAAGTTTGGCTCCAATTACCACTYGTTTCTGCTGCTGAAGTGCTCAGATTTACAGCACTCCTACAAATAGCTACCAGGGTGGCTCCATCTTGCATGTAGCAAGCTGTCTGTCAGCTGAAGAGAGATTTATAGAGCAGGGAACTTTCTCCTCCCASCGTGGAGAGGGATGTACTCACCAGCTGATACTCGCTGCGGCGGCTGAAGGCTTCCTTGATTCCTGAATCCCTCCAGAGAGCACCCAGGGCAGGGACATAGAGCTGGAAGGTGGCAGGCTCGATGGGCATTCCAGCTTTGTTTTCAAAGGCCATCAGAAACATTCCATGCTTCTCATTCTCCGTGTACTGCCAAGGGATCCCCAGTTTGTCCCGTGCGTCAACCAGAACCCTGCAGCCCTARAGAATGAGTCAGATAAGAAAGTCAGTGATAAAAAGATTAAAGTGTAAAAGAACAAGGACTTGAAGGTACTCAAAGATTATTTTCTTGACACTGTTCTGGTGAGACTGAACCCAGGGGAGAATCATAAACATTGTTTATTGCAACATTTCCAACAGAAATAAGATAGAGCTTGCTTCTGTAAGCAACTTAGYCACAAAATATTCCTCCAGGTGGAAAAAGTATTAGTGGCAACAGCTAATGGCAACAAGCAGTGCTACCAACAGATAATGAAARTAAACATCAAGGAGAGTATGAAAAGTGTCTGGGAATTAAGAAAAGTGTCTGGGAACTAATGTGTGATCATAAGAGCTGTAGTTTTAGAAGTAATACCGTGCCTGAAACCATATTCTTCCTTTTTCTTTGCATTYGGGTTTTAGACACCAAAAAGGACATCCCAGCTTTCTCAASCATTAGGGAGATCAGAAGAGCATTAGAGGACTGAAGACATTGCATAGATTCCAAGATACCAGGCTCAGGAAAGCAGATCCAGTTTTCCCTCAGAATCAGTTTACTTTCTGAACTTGCTATACATTTGCTAAGCAATGTGTGGCAGGTAGGCTTTGCTGCTCAAATACTGGAAAAAAAATATGGAAGCAAAGCGATCTAGCTCTCAAATTCAGTTCAGGATTACTGAGCTGCTTATTTTCACATTCTGCAGTTTTTATGGAAACTTCATTTCATATTCATGGCAACAAGCCAACACATGAGGTTAAGGAAATCTGAAACATCAATCTTGAATGTAACTTCACCTACAGTAAATAGCTTCTGATAGCTAATAGTTATTTCTCAATAGTGAGCACCATTTTAGTAATGGACATATCTATTAACAGTGACTCAGCATCTCAAGTACCATCGAATTCACAAGTAAAATATGTGGGTTACATAGAACTACTTTTCTTTYTGTGTTGATCTTTGACTTTAGAGATTTGAAAATAAAACCAAATAAAAAAATCTCCAGAATTAAGTTCTGTTTCCACAGCTATTCACATGAGCCTCCACATTACTGGACTCATCTCTTTTTTTTGCATACTTTAAGCTATCCAGACTGCATTTATGTTTCCTTAACACTTGAACCTTTCTGCTCTCCAGTCCTTTAGCAGCAGACAACAACAACAACAACAACAACCAACAGTAACTTCCCAAAGGAAATGAAGATTAGAGGGAAGTGAGAAGCAACTTAGCGGAGTGTCACAGAATTGGAACTCAAAGCAAAGTGTCATGATTGTCACTATCCAACAGTACTCCTGAAGTGCAGCTTCCCAAAAATGTAAATATTTATGATTCTCTACTGATAGTTGCTTCTTTTTATAAAGTAGAGAATATATCCCCATGATACCAYGAAAAGACTAAAATCAAATATATTTACCAACTGCTGCTTTAAATTCCAGACATAACTATTTGGTAACTCTGTCATACAGACCAAAAGCCAACTCTCATTCCTAGTWCCAGAGTTTATCCCTTTATTAACAGAAGTCCTTAGGTCATTATTTGAATGGTGCTAACAAACATAAGCATGAAAAACCCACTTATAAGGCTGTCTCTGAATTGCAGATGTCTCCATGGCATCTCACAGCTTCAGACACTTTTGCAAACCATCCCTTGCACAGAATACCACCCCAGCTGCAATTAAAAGGCAGGGTAAGCTCCCCACTATGCCCAGTCAAGAACCTGGAGATTTTTCCAAAGCATTGTAGTGACTGAGACAAGCAGGACAGCTATTTCTAGGTACTTCAAGCCAGGTTTGTCTCTGCTCAGTGAGAATTGGTGCGCATGAAATGGTTAATCAGCACTGTGTGTGGGGGACAGTGATCTGTGGATTCATCTCCTCAGCCCCTTCCCCATGGATCACCATCTCCCACGGGTCACCATCTCCCACGGGTCACCATCTCCCACGGGTCACCATCTCCCACGGGTCACCATCTCCCACGGGTCACCATCTCCCACGGGTCACCATCACTGTGCTGCCCTGGGCCCTGCACAGTGTTCCCAGCCCACGCAGCTCTGACCTTTTTCCTGCCTGGAGCTCTGCAGGATCTCCCCCGGCTGCTCAGCTCCAGCTCTGGGGTTGGTTTAACCCTTCTCCACCTCACAGTCACCGCAGACACTGCAGAGCATCTCAGAGGAACGGCTGCAGGACTGCACAATTCCTGCTTGGATAAAACTGCACTGGGACCTCAGTCTAAGTGTATTTCCCCACACTGTCACTCTGACTTTCCCTGCTCCCACTGGAGATACGGAGGTGCTCAAGAGACTGTTTGTTGATAGGGAAAGTTTCATTATTTGTGTGAAGAAAACCACAGAACAGTTTCAWCCAAGGGTGTAGAGACTGCTCCAGGCCCAGAATAGCCACTTATCTGCTGGCTGCTGYTCATTGGAAATGCAGGTTTGACCCTCCATAAGGCCAGAGAGGGAACTAAACTTAGGTCTCACAGACCCTGTGGGAGTGCATTACCTACTGTAAGGTCACCCATGGACAGCACGTGGCATCAGCACCTTCCTCTCTCTGCTCTAGAGACAGAGCTATTGCCACCAAGTTACATGTAGAGTCCAATCTGAGACAAAGTGATTCAGCAGCAGGACATCAGCACTGACAAACAGACTCACACCAAATGAAGGAAATAAAAAAATTGCAGAGGCTAGAAGGAATGCTGTCTTATGCACACCCACAGGTACAGCACCTCTCAAAATTTTTTGACCACATTTGCTTCAAATTGTGTCTCTAAAATGCATCRGGAATAAAAGCTTTATGTAAAGTCAATGTTTCTTCCTCCCAACTCTCAGCAGTTAAAAGTGTAAGTGACTCAGCAAAATCCTCAGTAAAGTGAATCTAAACTTAACATTTCTCCATCTCCACAAAACACTTCCATAAATGCGACAAACAGATGTCAGAAAGATKAGGAGAAACAGAGAAATCACTAAATTTAGATCCTATGTACTGCTATTCTCGCATCTCAGACTTACTGGTAACATTGTATTTTGCAACCTCACTGACACTTAATAATCCTTGCCTCATTAATCTGCAGAGCAAGTTGCCATAGGAAAGGTTTCCTCTTACTGGAAACACAAGCAAGACACTTTTCCCACCCCTCTCCTGACAGTTTTTCTGCTACTGTAGAAAATGTCAAGTCTCTCATTCATAAGGCTGAACATCATCAATTACCATTCTGTTTTCCAACTTGGAAAATGGAAAAAAAAATGAAGCAACAATTTTAGATGTGAAATAAACTTCTGTACATTTCAACTGATTTAAAGCTTCTGTGCTGCAGTTAAAGCAGGACCCACAATAAGCATAGATGAAAACAATTAAAATTCACAGATAAGGATAGTCTCAGGCATTAAAAAATAGCAAACTAGTAGCATAATGGAAGCACCAGCTTCCAGCTGGAAAAAATAGGAAATTCTCTATTCTATTCCCTTCCTAATMATYCAAGTCACTGCATAAATCCCTGGCMTGCACAAAACCTGAATGGAATCWGGGTAGAAGAGGTRTAACAAGAGTGTGATGTGATCCACCTCATGAAGTACCATATCTTACACAGAAGAAAACACTAAATCTAGAAATCCACAGATTTGAAAAAAAGGGATAACTATGTCATAGTATACAAGGAATCTACAGAAATTACAAACCACTCACAGAAAGGGAATAGACAAARACTATTCTTCTCCTTCCCCTTGCTGGACAAATATGAGTTATCAAAAAGCAGTTTAAACTAGAAATCTACACACGCCCGGTCAGACAAACACATTTACACAGGATGTTAGCCAAAAGCATAAATGGTCTCAAAAAGCCATGAAGACAAATAGACAGAAGGAAAGTCCAAAAAGGACTATTCAATTACATTGCAGATGCAAATCCTGGCTCAAGAAGTTTCCAACACCAAATATTGCCAATAACTGGAAGAACACACTGAAGTATCCCACTCCCTTGTGCTCGTACCCAGTTTTGGTTGTGGGTTGTTTTTTCATGTCCCAGACAAAGCCTGAGCTCCTCAGCCTGACACAGCACAGCTGTTCCAAGTATGTTTGCTACTCACTAGCAGTAGGAACATTTTATGAGCATTTACACAATTGCTCATTACTAGGATTGGCTCACATAATTTTTTTCTCCTTTACTTTGAAAACATCCTAGCTTTGAAAAAGATCCAGGTTMTCTTGTATTTTTAAGTAATAATTAAATAATTTTGTGGGAATTATTAGAAAAGTTATCAAGGGCTAACATCACTTGACTCCAGTGATGTTTGCCAATACAGGAGAAGTGCTGCAGTATTTAAAGAGTAGAATGATTTAAGCAAATCTTACATCTGTAGTTACACTGCTACACAAAACACAACATTCACTCTTGAAATTATTCACATACTCCAGTACCTGAAGGATTCATTATCGATAAAACCTCACACCTTTCATCAGATGGACCAACTCAGAGGCCAAGTGAATGTCCCTCAGTTAAGCACCAAGCACACAATGGGCACAACAGGTTTGGGGGGCACTTGCTCAGACAAGGCCAGCTTCATCCACGCACAGAGGAGCAGTCAAGTGACCAAAAAATCTGATTATTCCAGTCAGTGGCTAGAGAGAACTTGCAAACCTACCCAGAGTTTGTATACAAATAGAAGAGTCTCCTACTGTGCATTTTCTCAAAATAATTTTAAGGAACTRCTACTGGGTATGAGATCACAGACACCRGAGTAACTGTTACACAGGAAATACTACGGCAGCTRTTTTTTATGTTTTTACCATTAACACACTGCTCAACCTCATTGCAACCCCAAAAATCTCCATTATCTATGTATCACTTATGTATCTTACTGTCCTGAGAGAAGTGCTGATCATTTCTGAATCCTTACTGGGGGACTCCAGGTCACAGCTAACAGGCAAYGCTGTCTTCTCCCATGGCTGCAAACCAACAGGAACACCACAGGCACAGGGAGAACCAAACGTGTTTCCTACTGTGTGTTTT